GAAAGAAAGAAAGAAAGAAAGAAAGAAAGAAAGAAAGAAAGAAAGAAAGAAAGAAAGAAAGAAAGAAAGAAAGAAAGAAAGAAAGGAGAGAGAGAAAGAAAGAAAGAAAGAAAGAAAGAAAGAAAGAAAGAAAGAAAGAAAGAAAGAAGAAGAGGAGAGAGAGAGAGAGAGAGAGAGAGAGAGAGAGAGAGAGAGAGAGAGAGAGAATCAAAGACCTAGGGTCATTATAACTAGAGTATATTTTTTTTTATTTTATCACAGTATTTATTATGTCTCTCCCTCCATCAATGACCTGAAATGTAACATTGGGTCTTTATATGCCCACCACTTATTATAGAACCCAACATATTTAACCTACAGAAATAATTGGTTAGTTGATTGATTGGTTAGTTAATAGTCATCATCACTATTGGGTGCAGGTAGTGCTGGTCATGCTTGGATAGATTTAGAAAGGAGGTAGGAAAGGGGACAGGAGAGAGAGAGAGGTGGGCGATATATCCAGTTTTCATTCTCTGCTCCTACATTTCCCTTTTCTTAACTTACTGTATCCAGGGTAGTGCAGTCCTCAGGTGTTCCTGAACAGTTCAGCCACTGATGAACCACATACGACAGAGGTCCCATAAAGTTATACCTCCTAGCCACTTCAGTCGTCTTAGTTTGTGTAAGTACCTTCTAAGATGTTTGCACAGCAACAATGAAATTGCCTAATGACGCCACTTCTCGGGACATATTCCTATCATTAAGCAATGAGTGACTCTGTTCTATGAAGGCCATAATACCTGCCCGACATGCCTACATACGTCACAGGAGTGTGTTCAGGTCGGCCAACGTGATAAAGTGCTTTGGGCAAATGAGACACTCCAGACAATGCCAGGAGAAGGCCATGCAGTGGCTGCCTTCCCTTGGTCAGGGTACAGTGTCTCGGTAACAAGAATGGAGGCTAGAGGGGGTGTGACAAGGGAGACACACCCAGCAACCTTGGACTGCCTCTGACCTAAAAAAACCAAAAAACCCAGAAAAACCAAAGGCCTCTCGGTCACCAGGGTTCCCCCTTGTGTTACCCCATTAAAAGTTTGAACAGAAGGTTCTGGAAGATCTCCCACTTGCGTTCCTTTTAATTAAGCGCGTAGAGAAAAGAGCTAAGCCCTGGGTTTTGTCTGTTGTACTTTTTGTTCCTGGGTCTGTTTGTACTTATTCAGAAATTATATAATTAAAAAAAATAATATTAAGTAAATGTGCATATCAGCCTGTCAGGCTGCCTGGGCAACCTCCACTCGGGAAGTACAGCGACAGCCCCGTTATTTCTCTTACTTGTTTTTAAGCACAAAATATGTCACACCTGGAAGTAATTAGCATAATTTTACTAATTTATAGCTAATTACACAATTACTTTCCTATGAAAGGCTCTGGGAAGACACTTGAAGTAAGTTTTCGCCAAATCTAGTGGCACAAAATTGCTTGAAAACATTCTGTTAGCTTCAAACATTTCGCAGGGGTGGGGGTGGGGGGTGGGGGTGCCCAATAAAGTAATTCTTTTCCATTCCGGAGTGTTCAAATATGACAGGGATAGAATTTCTCTGGGCGCTTACAAAGCAGAATGCCTAAGTGTCCAATCAGAAGCGGCGCCGGGGAAGCGCTCTGGAGAAATGTGGCGTCGAGGCAGACTCGGGACCCACCCCACAGCCACAGCATCTTGACCGTACTACCTGGCAAATTCTGATCCGTGGCAGGTGCCCAGCTCTATCCTGGAGAAGGATTCGAGATGGTGTCAGTGTTCTGGGGCCAAATAGACACTCCAGGGGCTCAGCATCCTACGAGCTATTTACTTATTTAGTTTTAGGTGTATATGTGTATGTGCCTGAGTGAATGAAAGTGCATCATGCGTGTGCAGGAGCCCACAGGGGTTAGGGATGCAATCTCCTGGAGTTTGCAGAGTTACAGACAGTTGTGAACCACCACATGGGAGCTGGAAATCAAACAAACCTGGGTCTCCTACAAGAACAGCAAGTGCTCTTAACCGCTAACCATCTCCTCAGCCCTGTTGACTTCACTGTATTTGAGATAAGAATATAATGACAATATTTCTCCCTCCTCTTCCTCCCTCTAAGCCCTCCTAGATACTCCTTCCCACTGTCCTTCAAATTCATGGTCTCTTTTTTCACTAATTATTACATGCATATATATATGTATACATATATTCCTAAATAGTGAATCTGGTGAACTTCATTACCAACAGACACAAAAACTGCTCCCAAATGAATGCATTCAACTAACTTTTTAAATGTTTGTTTATTATTGGGAGATCAGAGGACAATCTTGTGAATTAGTTATTTCCTTGCACCTTTATATAGAACTCAGACTTGCATCATTAAGAGCCAAGTGCCTTAACCCACTGAGCCATCTTCTTAGTCCTTGACTAACATTTTAAAGGCCTCTATCACTGCTTTGTACCCAATGGGAAATTTCACTAAAGGAACAGTTCACTGTGTCCCTAGTCACATCCCAAGCAGAGGAGGGGGAGATGTCAATCAACCTGCTATTATTTATTGAACACTCATTTGGGCAAATGGAGAAACAAAAATAAGTCCCAGATGCAACCTCTATCTTCAGGAAACTTGCCAGAGCCACACACAAGAAGCAGGTGGCTTAGGATGGCATTAATCCAGAGGCAAGTGACATCCACCTAGACAGCCCGGGCTACTGTCTAGTGTTGCTGAGATGGGAAAATGGGATGCAGATGCCAAGGAAAAAAGGATGGAGTCCTGCCCCTATATGACACACGAGGGGAGGGAGCTGTCATGGTTACGTTTCTATCGCTGTGAAGAGATATCATAACAAAGGCAACTTACTGAAAAAGGGCATTTAAGTGGAGGCTTGCTTAGAGTTTCAGAGGGTGAGTCCATTAACCATCATGGCAGGGAGCATGGCAGCAGGCAGGTAGGCATAGTGCTGAAGCAGTAGCTGAGAGCTTTACATCATAATTGGAAGGGTAGAAGGCAGACAATAGGAGAATGTGCCTGTTGTGGGCTTTTGAAACCTCATAGCCCACCCCTAGTGACACACCTTCTCCAACAAGGTCACACCTCCTAATCCTTCCCAAAATAGCTGTACCAACTAGCAACAAAGCATTTAAAGAGATGGGGGTGGGGGACATTTTCATTCAAACCACCACAGAAGCCTCAGTTTTCATGAAAGTCAGAATATTCTGTCAGGAACATGGATCATGTAGGAGGCAGAAAGGGCAATAATGATAAAGGAAGCAGAGGGGCCAGGAGCTCCTGACCATCCTTAGAACTCTGGGGAGGCCTCCTAGAACCCTGAATTCTGGCCTGTGTCTAACTGGCCAATGTTTGCTAATCCTCATTAGACGGAAACAAGGCCATGAGAATTGGTTGGGACAACAAAAAAGCATGAAGTCGTAGCATGCATCATATGAAGGCAGCAGTAACCCCAACAAGGAACCCCAACTGGTTCTTGGGGTGTTAAAATTATGATGTTACAATGACTTGTGACCTTCTCAAAAGCCACAAATATAAGTAGCTACATTTTAGACTTGTGGTACTCATATTTCGGTGTAAGCAAAAACTTTCCAAACAGAGCTCCAGTGCGTAGGAACTAGCCCCAAGAATCAATGAATGGACCTACATGAAATTAAAAGGGTTCTGTGCAGCAGAAGAAAACTATCAACAGGGTGCACAGATAGCCCACAGAATGGGAGAGAACCTTTACCAGCTACAGAAGGGAACTAGTACCCAGAATTTTCAAGGAACTGCAGAAATTAAACGCCAAGGAAGCAAAACTGCCAGTCAGCAAGTAAGTTGACAAAATGAGAAGGCAGTTTTCAAAAGAAGAAACCCAAATGTCCAGGAACCGCTTCATAAAGTAGTCAGCATCCCTAGTTAACAGGGACATGCAAATTAAAACTACTTTGAGATAACCCTTGACCTCAGACAGCACAGTGTTTCATCAAGAAAACCAATATCAAATGTCGAGGAGGAAGTGAAGAAAGAGAAACCTCTATTCACTGTTGGTGGGGGTGCAAATTAATGAAGCCATTATGGAAATCAGGACAGAGGTTCCTCAAAAGCATACAAATAAAACTGCCATGTGACCTGGTCATCCATCCCACTTCTGGACACATACCCAGAGGGCTCCATGCCCTAACAGAGTGGCTGTTGCATACCCACATTTGTTGATGCTCTATTTACTATCAGCAAATGAATAAAGAAAAATATATAAGTCAGATGTGATGGTGAACACCTTTAATCCCAGCACTCAGGAGGCAGAGGCAGGTGGGTCTCTGAGCTCAAGACCAGCCTGGTCTATAGAACAAGTCTCAGGACAGCCAGAGCTACACAGAAAAACCTTGTCTTGAATACACACACACACACACACACACACACACACACACACACACACACACACACAAATGGAATATTATTCATAAAGAAAGTGAGATCATGAAATTTGCAGAAAAGTGGATGGAACCGGAAAATCCAAGGTGACTCAACTCAGAAAGAAAAAGACCACTTGTTATCCCTCATTTGCAAATACTACCCTATAAAATATATAAATGTATAAAGTGTGGGCATAGGATAACATTTACAAAGGAGACCAAGAGCTGGGCGGTGGTGGCGCACGCCTTTAATCCCAGCACTCGGGAGGCAGAGCCAGGCGGATATCGGTGAGTTCAAGGCCAGACTGGTCCATAGAGAGAGATCCAGGACAGGCACCAAAACTATACAGAGAAACCCTGTCTTGAAAAACAAAACAAAACAAAACAAATGAAGGAGACCAAGAAAGGGTAATATTAGTCGAAGAAGAAGGATGGAATGCAGGCAAAAAGGTACATGAATCATGAAAGAAGACATAAAGCTTTTTTTTTTTTTTTGTAGTTTCAACTCTATCATAGTTGTTTGTTTGTTTGTTTTTTCTCTATTTTGTTGTGGATACGTGGATTCAACTTTTTGAGTATCAAAGCAAAAAGAATGATTTTTGCCTCCCGTAAGAATCCCACTTGTGTTCTTTTGATGGTGTCAAAGTTAGGTTTTCATTGTCGTTCCGTTGACCATAGGGCACTAGAACTTAAACGCGAGTGATCGGAGCACATCTGTCAGTCACACTGGCCTGCGTAGGAAAAGCAGGGTTTGGTTTTGTGTGTTTAGGGAGGGCAGTTTTTCAATCTGAAATCTCCCTCTGTTTAGATCTATATGAAATCACCCTATTATACTCTACTATAGCACTGTTGCATACATAAAATAAAGTATGAGTTTAAAGTTTTAAACATTTTCAAGTATTTTGTGTGTTAGAGGTAATCCAAAAAACTGTCTAAAAAGTCACCTGTGAGAAATGGTGTGTGTGTGTGTGTGTATGTGTGTATGTGTGTGTGTGTGGGTGTGTGTGTGTGTGTGTGTGAGAGAGAGAGAGAGAGAGAGAGAGAGAGAGAGAGAGAGAG